GAAATTGTCTTCGGATGTCTTTTGATACGCGCATGGGGCCTGATGATGATGATGCTCTTTATATTGCGCCACTGTTCAGTTTGGAGATAGTTTGTTTTGCATCCATGCTTTGTATTTTTCTGATGAGACAGCTTTGGGCTGAGAGTGGCAGTGTGCTTTCGCCTGGCGGTCGGGCTGATTGTTTTTGTAGGCTCGATATGTAGGCCTGCATATATGTTGGCCCCCCTGCTTCTCCAGTGACAGGCTTAGCTCTGCAGAGCTGTTGAGCCACCATTACTTGGCGTAATGTAAACAAAGACGCGATTATACTTCCATAACACACGTAGCCCGCACTCACTTTGTGAGCTTCCTGCACGACACATTTAGTTGTATAAGAAAGACATACAAAGAGTGCATTTTGCCGATGCATAGAGTGTGTGAGAACTTTAAGACGTAAAGCGCAATCAAAGGCCGTCCTCTATTATACGTGTTTTTAATCAATATATGATAGTAGGCGTCTCAGATAGATACAAAACATGTCTCTAAGTGCTTAGCTGATAATAGCCAACAGATCACCGCATTTGTAGCATGCCCGATAAACCCCTCGTGTATTACAGCCCCGTGCTTTCAAAATGGCTGATTCTCTGTCTTTTACTTTAGATGAAAATAAGGTGCCACTCCCCACACCCCTCTGAGAGATATTTGGTTAAAAAAACACAATGGTGCTCTAGGAGGAGATTTGGGTGATAAGGTGGGTGGTGTTACCTTGGTTGGTTATTGGCTAATTGTTACACAAGCCAAAACATCGTTATGACATCATAAAGTGGCCAAAATCGGATCAGCTCATTTCAGACATGTTTATGTATAAAAGACATGAAAAAGTAGATTTTGCATAAAGGTGACCTTTAAGAGTTACCATAGAGTGTCTGTAGTGTCTATTCAGGTAACAGTGGTTCTGGTTCATACTCACTGAGGAATATGAGCTGGACCGTCTCTCTTCACTTCAACGAATGAATGGCAGCGGTTTTTTGTCTGACAGTAGTGGTTAATTAATCCAATGAAATTCTGTTCAGAGCTGTTGTCCTGAGAGTTGACACTGAGGCTTCTTGTCTTATTACTGTAATAAACAAGAGATATTTAACAGATGAAGACATGAAAATAAAACATTGCACTGGCTTTGCAATTTACTCACCAGATATCAGAATCCTTTTGGATTAGTTCCTTTTTTTGTTGAGCTGATGTAGGGTTGTAATTATCATCTGCAGTCTTGACAATAAAAAAAAATATATTGAGATATTCACCCAGATGACTGTGCCCAGCTGAGTAACTGACTAGCTTTAATAATAGGGGGTTGTTAAAAATAGAGGACAACACATATTACTGTTGCAACTCATACCTGATTTGTGCCCTCTGACAAGTCTCTCAGGGCATTTTTAGCAGCATCTTGCTTGGCTTCCTTTTTCGTCTTCCCCACACCTTCAGGATAGTCTTTACCATTCAGGACTACACTCTGGGTGAATCTGTAGAGCAATTGTCATGTTTCTGTTTCTGTTTTTGTAGAAGCACTGGGGCCATGGAAAAAAACATGTACCCCTTAAGGAGCTTGTTAAAGAAAAAACAACGTATATTAGCTACTTTACGATTATTTAATAATAAGGAAGTACATTTCTGATTTCCAATGAGTAGCTCAATAACGTTGATATAGAACCACTCCCACTGCTGCAATGTAATGTACTGTAGCTATACCGATTTGCATAACCCACCGGTAAAAAATGTTAAATTACTTACGTTTTGCAGTGGTCTGGGCCATCAGATGGAGACTCCCTGTATTTCAGACTAAATCTTTTTTTGTGTGCGTACTCGTTGAGTCTTGCGACATAATTCTTACTTTCCATCTTGAATGATTTAACCGTCTAAATTTGATCTTAGATTACATACAACTGTGTTCAATCCAACAATACTTGTTTATGCCCCATTCCAGCCTTGTCTCTCCTGCAGTCCTGCGTATATCTGTGCTCTTTTTCTATTCAGCTCACTCTTGATACAATTAAGTTTCGATTTCCTCGTTTTAAACGTCATTTACGTAAGGTTACGTGGCTTGACTCGTGTTTGAACAATGAATTCCGTTCGCACAGATTCATTACTGGTGATGACAAACAACAAATAGCAACATTGTTTCATTTTAAATAAAGTATATAGTCCATTATTTTGGTACACCTACCCATTGAATGTTATCGTTTTAGGCAATGTTTAGATGCCTTATTTTATATTTAACTTTTTTTTTTACACACTGGAATATTATATTATTCCAGGGTTTATTATATTAGGCCTACTATAATATGTCCATTCAAATTGTTTAAGAAAGAGACCAAAGTTCAACATGTACACACTACTGCTGGTAAAAATTCAGAATTGTGTCTTTTGACAAAAGTTGTTATAGTTTTTCACAGAATGTAGTTCATCTGTCCACTGGAGTGCGCACACAGTGTCTCAGGGTGTGGGCAATACTTTTGACAAGGGACACCTCTTTCAAGGTATAGTGTTTATTTTTCGGTCTACGGTCACACCATGTTTAATCAGAGATACACTGTTGCCATAGTCAGAAACAAATGTGAATGCTTACCCAGGGACGGGCTGGTGCTACCTGACTGTAAGGTTAGGCACAGGTTAAGCAGGTTTGGGAAGTTTCCAGTAAATGTTTTGTGACACTTGTCACGTGTCAGCAGATGAATTTGATATTAATGCTATCAAGTAAGCTAGACAGTCACAATCAGAAAACGTTATTGATCCAACAGGGTAAATTGGGCTAAATTGTTGTTTTTTCCTATTCTTGAATATACATTTATATAAAGAAATAAGTATTATTAAAATTATTGCATTTTATTACTAATGTACAATATTTAACAACAATACATACAGGATCGCTGTACTCTGTGTAGTGACAATTAAGGAATATAATGTAATCTGATCTAAAATGTGAAAACAGAGGTAAGAACTGAAAGTGTTTGGCTCTGTCTTTGTTAGCAGGTTGTGACAAAGTCAAACTAACACACCTACCTGCAAATGACACTCCTGCTATTACAATGAGTTGGTCGATATTACCATCTTATTGTGATGATTGATTGTTAAAAAAGATAGGCATTCCAGTCACAATCACGACTAATATTAAAGTCATAGCAATAGCCATGTAGCCGCAGCCACAGAGGGCACACCCAATTTGGCTTTGGTTGAAGACAGTAGGAATTCTGCTTGTCTGACACACTTGAAGTAGTCACAGGACAACTTTGGCCAATCATACGGGATGGACATTTAAGTGACAAAACTGAGACACACAAGTGTCTCCTTAAGTTGATTTAGAAAGAAAAATACTTACATATTGAGTGTAATTCCTTTATGTCAGAAATGCTATAACTAAGTACTTAAACATGGTTATGTTGAAGATTCAGCATTTAAAGTCGTTATCAAGTGTTTGAATTTTTCTGGAACAAGGGCACATTCCCTTATTCAGAGGTGATCAAATAACTGTACAGACTCATTTTAATGTAAACAAAGCATATCATAAGCAGAGGAATTCACGTCATGCAGCAGAAATTGTGCAATACTTTACAGAGGACTGATGACCTTCACACTCTTGTTGCCAACATTTTATTCAGACAAGTCATTAAAAGCAAAGGGTTTAATTTGACAACTTGAACCCAGACATGCACCGTGGAATACATTGTTTCAATGAGTTGATAACTTAACCATGAATTAATTATTTGTTAAAAGTTAAATTTGCAGTATGTCAAATCAGACGGAGGTTCTTAGCTATATCATATATTTGGTCAAAACATATATATATATATATATATATACACACATACATATATGTATATATACATACATACATACATACATACACATATATATATATATACATATACATACATACATATACATATATATATATATATACATATACATATATATATATATATATATACATACATACATACATACATATACATACATATATATATATATACACATACATATATACATATATATATATACATACATATATACATACATACATCATATATACATATATATATATANTTTACTAAAGAAAGAACAATAATACCACACTGTTAAAGCAGTCCATTAAGTATATTACTCAAGTTCTGCATTTAAACTCTTATTTAAGTAAATGTTTTTTTAAGAAAAAACATTTACTTAAATAAGAGTTTAAATGCAGAACTTGAGTAATATACTTAATGGACTGCTTTAACAGTGTGGTATTATTGTTCTTTCTTTAGTAAAGGATCTGAATAGTTCCTCCCCCACTCATTAGGAGTCACAACAGAACGGCCGCTGTCTGTATGTAACAGATAACTGTTTCTAGAAAATATCACTCTCTATGTCGGAAATACTGTTGAGTGCTTCAACAATAATGTAGACAGCATAACATTATTGGTTCAAAGATCTCAGTAGAATTTTCTTTTGCAGAACGAAATCATCAAGTTAATGCTGCGTGAGAAGCCAGAAGACCGTCCTGAAGCAAGTAAACTAAAGGCAGAGCTGAAGAAATGGGCTCAGACACAACATTTGGATCAGGAAAGGGCTAAGGTCTAATCATCTGGAGATCTCTCTGTTCGATGTCTGTCATAGGATACACTTATTTTATTTGTTATAAATATATATAGAGAAATGGTTAAGGGATTGACTGCACTTCTCTGACACTTTATCTGAACTTTAACAAAAAAACGGACACTATATGCTGATTTTCAGGTTTCATATTTGTATTTTGTGCCTTTATGTGTTAACATGCTTAAATCTTGAAAAATATATTTATTTTTCTCAAACTGCCTGCGTTGCAGCACCTCTTTTCACCCTCTGTCTGAAACCAGAGCCCAGTCTGCTCTGATTGGTTAACTGGCCGCTGTTGTGATTGGTCGACCACTTTGAGATAATAATAATAATGCATTTTATTTATATAGCGCTTTTCACAACTCAAAGACGCTTAGAGATGTCCCGCCCCTCAGCCTAAAGCGTACAATGTGTTGGCGTGTTAGTCAATAGAACTGCGAGTTACACATTACATAGTGATGTCATTATGTTATGGAAGTAAACAAAGGGGGTCCAATCATGGCATATGTTGGAGAGAAACTCCCTCAGATCATTTACATGCACATACGTTTGGACACACCTTCTCATTCGAAGGTTTTTATTTATTTTAATTTGTTTACATTGTAAATGAATACTGAAGACATCAAAACTATGAAATAACACATATGGAATTATTTAGTAAACAAAAAAGTGTTAAACAATCCAGAATATGTTTTATATTTTTGATTATTCAAAGTAGCCCCCTTTTGCCTTGATGACAGCTTTGCACACTCTTGGCTTCTCTCAGTCAGATTCATGAAGTCGTCACATGGAATGGTTTTCCAACTGTCTTGAAGAACTTCCCAGAGGTCGTGAGCACTTGTTGGTTGCTTTTCCAGCACTCTGCGGTCCAACTGGTCCCAAACCATCTCAATTGGGTTAAGGTTTGGTGATTGTGGAGGCCAGGTCATCTAACGCAGCACTCCATTACTTTCCTTCTTAATCAAACAGCCCTCGCATAGCCTGGAGGTGTGTTCAAAGTTCTTGAAATGTTACGGATTGACTGACCTTAATTTCTAGGAGGGTAATGATAGACGGTCGTTTCTCTTTACTGAATTGAGTGGTCTTGCCATATTTTGGATTACAACAGTAGTCAAATAGGGCTCTCCACTGTGCACTAACCCAACCTCTGCATAACACAACTGATGGTCTCAAGCACATTAAGAAGGCAAGTAATTCCACAAATTGACTCTTGACAAGGCACGTGTTAATTGAAAACCATTCCAGGTGACGACCTGAAGCTGACTGAGAGAAGCCAAGAGTGTGCAGAGCTGTCATCAAGGCAAAAGGGGGCTACTTTGAAGAATATAAAATATAAATCATATTCTGGATTGTTTAACACTTTTTTGTTTACTAGCACATATTTCATAGTTTTGATGTCTTCGGTATTAATTAATGTAAAAACTAATTGGTGTGAGAAGGTGTATCTAAACTTTTGACTGGTACTGTAAACCTATACAGTAGTATACAACTACAGGAAAGGGAAAACCCCCAAAGCAGAATAGTGCCCCCTTACCTAATATTGTGGGTTTTACAAATGAAATGTGAAATTCAATATTATCATTATTTTAAAAACTAACTCACATATTATTCACATTTTTCCAACTGTTCTAAATAATCATGTGCTTGCCACTTTCTGTGTCTACTGTTTACATTGTATTAAATGCCGGAGATATTGTAACATGTTTTGTACTGAATATGTAACGTTTCAAAATAAAATAAAATGTATTTGGGTAAGAATGTCATGCATCTACATTGAAATGTACAAGCACACACACTGTACTGTAGTAGCATTTTCCATTATTCATGCACTGTCGTAGATATAATCAAAGAAGATGACTTTTGAAATACAAAGGCAAAATTAAAACATTTTGGAAAAGGCAGTATATTATTTATCCAGTAGTAGGCGGTAATGCAATGCTTGGATGCCTCTGAAAATCCCAAAAGAAGAAGAAGAAGGAAATGGATGCAGGATGCAGCCAATGGCTAGGTTCAGGAGAAAAGGGCGGAGGTTTAAATCTCTGATTTGAGGACCATGCTAGTAGGCAGTGGTCGTTTGGCAGAAGACTAGTACGTGCATCGGTGATTGTATTGTGCACCAAAGGTTTAAAAATGGGGAAAGCGAAAAACTTCGTAGCACAACTGAAGAAACAAGCACGGAAAGCACGCTGGGAGTTAAAATATGAAGACGTGTGCTCTGAGGAACCTGAGCCCAATAAAAGGTGACTTAAGCTAAAACTGCTATGCTTGCTAGCTTCTTCGAAAGTTCTCTGTTATGGAAAGTGTAGCATTTACCCAACATGGTCTTGCCAAACCAACTTCAACGTGTTTACATGTAAAGTGTTTACTCTCGATGTAAGGGCATACTTCTGGATGTACTGTCCCGTGTAAGAGGTTTTATCCTAGGGGTATGGACTGCGA